CCCAATTTAAAACTAGGAGGTTGGATCCCATTTTTTACCTATGGGAAATGATATAGGTGTGCCTCTTTCAAAGACACATAGTTTTTTTTTCAATTTTATAATGATATATTATTTTATTATTTTGTCACTTATCTATATATAAATGAAATTTAAAATTTACTATTATCAATTAATTTCAATAAAGTAAACTCTACAATATATCCAACAACTCGTATGGTACCATATTACCATCTATTGAAGTTTCCAAAATTCTAACTGTACTCACAAGTCACACAACTCACCAACCGATAAAATCAACCAACCATTTTGCCCCGTAGTTTCCAAAGCCAAAGCCACAAAAAAGTCATAGATAGAAACTCCCCCTTACTAGTCTTCTCGTCTGTTCTGTTCCACAGTCGTCAACTCTGTAACATTGCTCAATGATATCTCGTACATTTCACCTTTTGAAGCAATCTGATGCTTAAAATTCAGATTTTGTGACCACCTATTTGAGAATTTGACGGTTTTCATGTTGGGTTTCTCTTTTTGAATAGTTCTGATCAATTTTGTGATCTTGACCTTTACATGAGTCATCAGTCAAACCCTAGTGTGTTTCTGGGCTCTCCTTGGTGGGTTTTGTGATTTTCATCACAAAACCTTGGTTGCTTTAGTTGATTTGGTTTGCAGCAGCACAGAGGGAGAGAGAGCCTGGGTTCTCCAATCGTCGGTGTTATTATTGTAAAGCTTTGGATGGTTCAATCCCTCTGTGAAGACCATTTTGGAGGTTTTTAGTACTCACCCTCTTACTGATTTGATCTGTTCTCCATTGGGTTGATGCAATTTTTTTGTGTTTGAGCATGTAACTGTATGAATTATTGATTTTATTTGCTTGAACAATACAGGGTTCTATTTTGTGAATTGGGTAGCTATGGTGCTATAGGTTTAAATGTCAAATAGATTATCTGTATCTTTATGGTTTTGAAGCTATGGTTTTGAACAAGAAACCTCGAATCAAAGATGCGGCTTTGCGCCGCTTTCTGTCTCTGGTTTTGATTACTCTGCTAGGGGTGGCTCTGCTGGTTTTTCTCCTTAGAACGAATTCAATTGCCATTTCAGCTACCCGTAATTCGAGTGAGATCGGTGAAAATTTTGGATTGACTTCTAACTACTCACAAGTTAGAGCAAAACTCAACCTTCCCAAACAGAATGAGTTGTCAATTTTGTTAGAAAAGCGAAACCAGTTGCCTCCAAGAAACATGGATTTATATCCGAATCTAGCCAAAGATCATATAGTCATTGTTCTGTATGTTCACAACCGGCCCCAGTATCTCAAAGTAGTTGTTGATAGCCTTTCTCAAGTGGTAGGGATAAGTGAAACCCTACTGATTGTTAGCCATGATGGATATTTTGAAGAGATGAACAAGATTGTGGAAGGTATTAAATTCTGCCAAGTGAAACAAATTTTTGCCCCTTACTCGCCCCATGTCTTTCCCAGTAGTTTTCCTGGTGTCTCACCAGCAGATTGCAAGGATAAGGACGATTCTGTAAAGAATCACTGTGAAGGAACTCCAGATCAATATGGAAATCACCGGTTGCCTAAAATTGTGTCCTTGAAGCATCACTGGTGGTGGATGATGAACACAGTGTGGGATGGGTTAAAGGAGACTCGTTCACACTTGGGTCATATTCTTTTCATAGAGGAGGATCACTTCATTTTTCCCAATGCTTATCGCAACTTGCAGTTACTTACGGAACTGAAACCACAAAAATGTCCTAATTGCTATGCTGCAAATCTGGCACCATGTGATGTGAAGTCAAGAGGAGAAGGGGGGGAGAGTTTGATTGCCGAGAGAATGGGGAATGTGGGTTATTCTTTCAATCGGACTACATGGAGGAATATACGTAAAAAGGCGAGAGAATTTTGTTTTTTTGATGATTACAACTGGGATATAACAATGTGGGTAACAGTTTATCCTTCATTTGGTGGTCCTGTTTACACACTTCGAGGGCCTAGGACTAGTGCTGTTCACTTTGGGAAATGTGGTTTGCATCAGGGCCAGGGGGAGAGGGCTGCTTGTGTTGATAATGGTGTCGTGAAGATTGAAGTGCAGGAGATAGATAAGGTTCCCAACATCAAATCTGACTGGGGAGTACATGTGCTCACGAAACAACAAGGATATGAAGCTGGCTTTAAGGGTTGGGGAGGCTGGGGAGATATAAGGGACCGCCAATTGTGTTTGGAATTTGCTAACATGTATCACCTGAGTTGAGAGATCAAATTTCCTTTCCGAAGAGTTTCCAGCATGTTGGGTTTCCCAATCAGCAAAACCGATGAGGTCTAATTTTAGTTGAGTTACTAAAAGAGAGCATACATTGTTGTTACATATGTGGATTTTGTATTATTACCAGAATAAAATCACGTTATGTTTTACTCTTTCAGTGAATTTTTAGCCGTCTGATTTTCTTTAATCCTGCCATATCTTTTATCTTGTTGAATGGGTGATCAGCCTATTGCTCTTCATGATTTTAGGGCATGGATACTTCTGCTTTCTTGTGACAGACAAATGTTCTTATTCAATTATATGTTGAAAAGAAATTGATGGTGATAAAAAAATTGATGTCACTGCAAGCTTTTTCTTATTTCATTAAGAAGCTCATTAAAGTTCGTTTTCCTTGAAATTAATACTAATGATACCAGCACCAGCAGTCTTGAAAGATCTTGACCCCATTTCATTAGTGAGAAACTGGTGCATAGGTGGAAATGACTCAACTTAGCACCCTACTTCTGATTAATGCTACATCTTTATCCATGCATTCATATGTATATACATATATATTACTGCTGAGTATGATAGGGTCTTGGTGCTAGATACACCACTATGGATGCCGGTGGATCGTGTTACTGCAAAAGGAAAACGGTGATGACGACCCCCCAACATTCGGTAAGCTGGGCACAGGTTGTGGTGGTAGAAAAAAGAAAGTATAGAGTGATACACTATTATGATTTTTTATTCGTTTTGATACTGGGAGATGGATTGTAACTGAAGAGAGAAGACGAGCAGTTGAACTTTGACAACAAAAGTTGCAGCCAAGCTGTGGGAATGGGGGGTTAAAAATTGATGCACAAAGCAATATCTCCCTCCCTTCTTCAATTCAATCCTTAAGTTTTTGTTCTTTTTGTGTTTAACTTCATATCAGGCCAGTTATGTCCCCGGCTGTGAGTGGTCTAATGCGCCAACTCTTTTTCCTGGGGTTAGTGGCCGACACTTACAGTGACAGCCATGTTTTATCTGGCTTAGTTTTCTATAACCGTGGGGCTTGATAGAGCACAACAGGGGAAGATGACTCTGTGTACTGCCTGTTAATTTTTACCCCATGGTTTATGGAAGGCTGAGGCTAGAACGTATTGTGTCATTCTGATCGAGGATTTGCCATCAATATCTTTTTGATCTCATCCCATGCCAAGTGCATACTTGGAAACTCAGAATATGGGATGGTAAATGGAGATTTTGTAAAGGATGAATGTCAACTATTTTCTTGAATCCATTGAACTCTAGCTACCCTGATTGTCATGCCGCCACTTAGTCATCGTCAACCCCCAGATCCAATTCTTTTGATGGTAAACTCAAAAGTGGTACGTCAAATTCTGTTTCCAATTTTCTAATTAAACAATGCTGTTGTTTCTTATGATGATGATGCACCTGATACATTCTGTGAATATCATGTTCTTACTCCCCTCCCGTCTCCCTTTATGTTGTCAGATGACGTGGATGTCTCCATGTAAGTCATTCCACTGGATTTGTAGAGCATTTGAAAGCACTCCATTGTATATTAGTTGCTATGAAATTACCTCTTTTTAGCATGTGTCAGATGTTTAAAGAATGTTTTTTTCTTCCCTTTTTTTAAAATGATGCATTGGGATAAGGCTTTATTGTATTGAGTAGTTTTTTTAAAATGATAATTGTGATTAACACAATTGCTTATTAGGCTGCTGGTACGTTGTTTTATGTTCAGACACTTCAGGAAATGATATTTGTAGACTTTTTCTTTTCTTTTGCTGCATTCCGTATAATTTTGTATGAATTTTAACTATGTTAGTTGTTCTGAGCTTATTCCATTCTTCTGTCCTAACCTGTTTGCGTACTTTTGTGATGCGTTTTCCCATCAATTTGCTCCTGTATAACAAAGCATGCCATCAGGAAAATCAGCACAATAAGCTGATTAATTTGTTGTGTTTTTATTTCATGGACTTTTTCAATGCAGAAAATTATTTTTTTGCATCAACTAACCATGATAACTAGGTACCTATTGATACCATCTCCTATGCTTTTGGGGGATTGATAGTTATCCCAAATGGACACCCGTAATGATTGGATTCTGGAAATCCCTTTTTTTTTTCTTTTTTTTTTTTTTGGGGGGGGGGTGGTGGTTCGGTTGTGCACTGGAGATGCAAATCTTCATTCAAGATTTCACCTGTCAGGATGGCGGGAAATCTGATTACATCTGAATTTAGTTTCTACTTCTAGCCTGCTGCTCATATTTGTATTGAAACTGAAGTCATGCCTTGAGCTGCTAACCCGTAACCCGATTAGCTTGTCTTCTTAGTTCTCACATGGTTAGAGAAGAAACTTTGGCATCCATTTTTATCAGAATTTGGAACCTGAGCTACCCACAAATTTTATTTCAGTGCTTGAGTTGTTTATGGATCGTGTGTATCACACAAACTGCAAATGAGCTGGAGGGTGCCACAGTGCTGCACATAATTGTCTTGATTATAAACAAATGGTAAGAGGGAGTTCATGTTCATTATTGAGTAGAAGCAGGTATGGCTGATAATCGAGTCGAATTTGTCGAGAGTTCGTTCTTCTAAACGAGCTTAACAAATTGTTCAAACTCGACTTGTTTAGAAATTGGTTCGAGTAGATTGATTATTTTACATATAAATGAGTCGAGTCTTTTAGGCTTGTTTCTAAACGAGTCTAAAAAATTGCTAAAACTCGGCTAGTTTAGAACATAAGTCAAGTTTGAGTCAAGTGAAATCGAGTCTTATCCGAGCCGAGTCCGAATAATTTGACTCAATTATCAGCCGTAGAAGCAAGATCTCTAGACCAAATTAAAGATCAACTCTGGTTGGATCGAGTTTGATTCACGCCATATTTTTTTAGAACAACTGAGTGTTAGGTTTTTGTGAGAGAATTGCGTCGTGTGATAGCAGATATTGGTTAAATTCAAGTGTCACCGATAAGAATTAAACTCAAGATATTTGTGTTCACGATGCACTCTAAATTCAACTTTACATCAGTGAACTATCTGAGAAACTAATGTTCATTCCAATGCATGCGACGTGAAGATAGGTGGACGCTGAGGCCCGTGGGTATGTGGTTTTAATTATTAGTCCAGTGTTCAAGGCAACTGATGGTGTTGTATTTGGTTTGTGCTATATTTAAATGGTGTCAAGTAAAAAATTATTCAATTTATACTCAATTCATTTATAATTGTATATAATCGAGTATATATCGTACTGAGTTCGTGTCGTATACAACTCATATAGTTGTGTTTAGTCAATTAATCTTTATCTTTTTCCGTTTCTTGTATTTGAATTCACATATTTTGTATTGGTTGGTTGGGTTATATCTTTTGATTTCTCCTAAGAGGGATTTCACCTAAAAATTCTCCATAATCCTCTAATAGATCATTTATCCTGTATTAGTGAGAGATCTATTTATATATAATGAGTTTCACTTAAATTCACGTGGGTGTGATCTATCATTGAAAAAAACTGAAATAAGAAATGTACTTGAGGAAATTGAAATTTGTCAGAGAGAATTTTTTGACTTTGTAAGTGATAATACATTGCCTCCTTCCCTGGACTAGCAACTAGAATTTAGAAAGAAGCAACGTTGAGTTATTTCTCTATATTAGACGCTCAACACACGCGGGTATTATGAAGAGAGAAATAGATAGTTCATTGGGTTAAAAGAGAGTTGGGTGGTTATTTAGGAATAAATGAAGGGTAATATTAAAATTACATGAATAGTGGCGGTTAATTGGAGTTAAAAGAAGTTATGAGTAATTATTTTGGGAAAACAAGTAGAGTGGATGCCAAACATAATGAAGACATAAGACAAACACTTACCCTTCAAACAATACATCACGATTTTTAGTGTAAGAATCAATCTCTTCAAAGTTTTGAAATAAAATTGTCTATCACTTAACTCTTTTATTCTCTGTTATGAACAAAAGTCGTGTGTGCTTAGATACCAAGACAAGTTTCTAATAGCAAACATAGATTACTCAATCTCTATACATAGGGGGTTGATGAGATTCCAAATTTTTGAACAAGCCTTTTGTTTGAGTCAACATTAAGCCAAGACAGCAATATTGTGAGTAATTTCAAGTAGGTTAGTTGTTATACTCTCATTACCTTCCTAGTTTATAAATATTAAGCAAATGTCAAATAATAGTTGAATGAATGGCAAGCTTTGAAGTATATATATACAGAGAGAGAGAGGGGGGGGGGGGGTGTTGAGTAATTAATTTGAAAAGCAAAACACAATTATATCAATCATAGTCCAAATGCTATGTTGGGCCCCATTAATTTAGAAAATGTTCTCCATATGCAAAGATTTGCATTAAATATTTTATATTCATTGTCAATGGGACCATAAATAATTACCAGTCTTCTAGATACAGACAAGTCAAATTTTTATTGGGCAAACTTAATCTAATTTATACATACACATATATCTATTATACTAATAAAAGTAGTTTAAGTGAAAAAAATTTGATTCACTATTTTACTCTTATAAAAAATTTTAAATATCACATTATCTTTTAATAGTTAAATATCTAAATTACAATCACAACCTTATATATTTAAATCTTTAAATTATCCTTTAACATCTTTTTTAATTCTTTATTATATTTGTATAAATATTAATATCTATGAAAATTTATAATTCACTATGCAACTCTTAAAAAAATATATGCATCATTACAATTTTCAATAACGTGTTCACAAAGTCTATCAATAGATCATTACTTTTTTCAAATAAAAAAATAACATTATGTTTATATATGTATTTTTTTTTATATACTACTAATAAAAGTACCTACGAATAAAAATTTTTACTCTTATAAAGAATTTTAAATACCACACAATCATTTTGTAGTTAAATATCTAAACTATCATCATATACTTATGTGTTTAAATCTCCAAATTACCTATAATATATCTTTTAGTTCTTTATTCATTATGTTTAAATATCAG